TAAAGGGATGAACAGAGATGCTCCACCCAACTGCTTTTCTGTGTGCCAGATGTCTCCTTTGCAGAGCTAAGAGCTATGCTTTTCCATGCAGTTCATTTGGCACTGTGCTTATATTTTCTAGCAAGATCACATTTATCTACAGGCATGGTACAGGACAGCAAATAGTTAGGGCTTAGAAGAATGATTCACTTGTTATATCTCAGTGGTTCAAAAATGAGACACCACAGTAAAACGTCTCCCAGAAGTGAGAGACGGGAATCTCTTTTCCCTTGGAGCTAGCTCTGGCTACATTTGTCACTGCACTCCTTGATGCGTGACTGAAACCTAAGTGCAGGGATGACAAAGCAGTGTGTTCTCCCAGCACCTATAGCCACAGCCTCAGGGCTGGTGGGAATGCATCGTGGTGAGCACCAGATGCAGGTACAGGGTGCATGAGGGTGAAAATAAATAGGTTCTCTGTTCAGTACTTTGACTGAATGCCTTGGAGATATTTTTCTGTGTACTGCTGTGGAATTCTCATTCTAAGAAACAGTGGAAAGCTCAGCAGTATTGTAAACAGTTGAACAGTCTATTTCTTTTCTGGTAGACAAAGGAGAATATAGGGGATTGTCAAAGGCATGGTAGCCTGGTTCCCAAGTCCTGAGCCTTGGTTCCCAAGTCCAAGTTCCTGAGTAGGAATGGGTACATAGGCAGTTGGTGTCACCAGATGTGGTATTGATGCAGCAGATGTGGCAACTGGTATTGAGCTGGTTGTGGCACTTGAGTGTCCTGCTGGTGTGCTTTCCCTTCTCTAAATTCACAGAACACGGAGCGTTATGGAAATCCTGAAATTCCCTGAGAGTGCTAGGTGAAGAAGGATGTGCAAATATCTTTGCGGTGCACACGAACACATACAAGTCATACACATTGATGTAGGTGGGAAGTCTGCCTGGGCACCAAATGATGGTGAGAGAAGACCATATTGAAGTCAGTAACACAGAAAGCACGGCTGTTTGCCTGGCAGCATTATTCTCTTACATATATCTCATAGTACATGATAAATCTGATGCAGCTACTCAGTGTTACATTGGCACTCAGACTGAGCTGCTTAGCTGAAAAGCACATCAGACTCGCATCACAGAATCACAGAATCATAGAATCACATGGTAAGTCCCAGCTAGCTGTGAGACAAGAGTAATGAGTCAGGACTAGGGCCCAGCAGGTCAGCAGAGTCTGTGGAAATCAAATCACAGCACTGCTATTTTGAGGTGGGTATTTCTGTGACGTGACTACATTTTGACATTTTATCTGAGTGAATAGAAATACAGATATATGGAAAAATCACAGATACTCAGAAGCACACCACTCAAAAGCTATGTGTCAGAACTGGCACAGTTCAGCACAAGCTTTACCTTGGCCAACAGTATTTGTACAAACTGCTAAAAATATACCCAGAAGAGATCTCTCTTTGGGGTATAAATACTAATAAAAATGTATGCCATCCTGCTTTTCATTGATTAACAACAACAATAAAAAATTCAGACTAGCGAGGTCATTCACTTTCTATTTCCCAAACTTTGTTTTACATATGGATGGATTATCTAAAGTAATGGTTTCTTTCTGGATATTTTTTTCTGGGGATTTTAGTAATTTTCATGGTGTTTTATCACTGGTATGCTAAATCAGTATTTTTCAAGAAGCTGAAAATGAAACAGGATAATCATGAGCACAATACAATTACCAAAAGAACCTAAGTTTTCTGTATGCTAGTGTAGGTCCATCCCTGCTCATAGACTCACAGACTCGCACAATGGTTGATGTTGGAAGGGATCTCTAGCGATCATCTAGTCCAAGCCCCCTGCTCAAGCAGGGACACCCAGAGCACGTGGCACAGGATCACGTCCAGGCAGATTTTGAAGTTCTTCAGAGAAGGAGACTCCACAACCTCTCTGGGCAGCCTGTTCCAGGGCCCTGTCACCCCACAGTAAAAAAGTGCTCAGCAGCATCTTCCAGCCAATAGAGATGTCAGACACAGATAAATACTTTTCACTAAACTTTCTTTTCACTTTCTTTTCACTAAACTTTCTTTCACTAAACTTCCAACTGATTCTGATCTCCTGAATGTTTTAGCAAAATTGCTTGAGAAGGGATGACTAGAGAGTCTTCTCCATAATGTTAAGAGTCTCTGAGAACCTCCCATAGGGTATTTGTTTTGAGAGGAAATTTGATGTGAACACTCAAATTGAACTTTGCTTTATGATAGATTCTTCCTAGTGAAAAATGTCCTTGGTCTACAGGGTCAGCAGTTACAGACCCCCTCACAGTAGCAGCATCCTTACAGTACAGGAAAAGCAGACAAGGTTTCTTCCCTCAGTGAAGCTGGACCACAGAGCTGAGTCTACAAGTGCAGGTGGTCAAAACAGGTGAGGGAGGGGAATTCTTTGAAAGTGCCCTCGGAAAACTGTGAATCAATTCCTCTGACGTTCGTTTCTTTGTTAGAAGAGTCATATTTGAAGATGAAGGCAATAAAATGTTTCTGTTTCAGTATGAGTCTTGGCTAAAGAAACCCAGTTCATTGGTTTGCGGTTAATATGGATCTTTACTGTGATAGACAGGTAAGGTATAAAGGAAAAAGCAGTTTGTGACTACTCTTATGATGAAGATTTTGCTTGTGAATTGGCATTGAAACCTAAGCTAAGGTAAATATTACATGAAGACATATTCTATTCTCAAAAATGTTTTACTTATAAAGACATTCATACAAAGAGATTGACTGTGGATAAGAACTGGTGTATCTCCTGGACAAAAGAAGTTTAGAGGATTTGGAGGTGAGTCATTCCCAGCTAGGTTGCTGCCTGCATATCTGTAGAGCCTAGTGTTCCTTTGCTGCTGTGATATATCTTGCCCTGCTAGTGACAACTGGGCTTTAGAAAAAATCAGTGTGATCATAGTTCTCTGAAAAGCAATAGTGTGTGAAAATATCTTCCACTGATAAAACTGTGTGTCAAACAAGAATAGCCATTAGAGTTGGAATAATGTTAGGAGGGCGGTATTGATGTTCTTGAACAGTGGATGAATATGGTGTCACTAATGTCATTTACTGCTGTTTGTCATCACAGATACTACTTTAGGTTGACATTGACATCACTGGTTAAGAAGGGCAAGCTGCTAAAAAAGAAGTAGGGAAGATGGATGTACCTGCTGCTGGGTGGATTTTGACATGTGCAAGGGCTGCATTAAGATTAGAACTGCTGATGCTGACAGGTCCCATTTGTGCGCTTCTGCTCCCTGCCATTTGTTTCTTCCCTACCGTTTACTCACTTCTAGGTTCTAAGCTCTAAGTTTTGGAGAGGAACAGAAAACATCTGTTCAGTTGATCCTGGCAACCAATCAGCTTTTACACCTGGTGATTGAGATCTGGTCACCATGTGAGAAGGGGTATCCATTTACATCATTCTCATTTCCCAAGGAAGCAAAACTGCAGCACCAGTGCAAACTTAACTGTGGAGGCTCCTGACTGTGGGCAGTTGCTTCTGTGTGTCTGAAGATGAGGCTCTTGCACCCTGCAGGGCTTCAACCCCTGCCCTCCAAACTGTCGTGCTTTCAGAGGGAAAAGGCTGCCACACTAGAGGACAGCACAGACCCTGAGCCCTCTTCCTTGTTCAGTCTCTGTCTCGTACTGACATAAGCAGCACATGGACTCTGCTGCAGCCACCGGGGCCAGGAGGAGCTGCCTTCGCACGGCACAGGGAAAACTAGACAGGAGGACCCCAGAGGCATCTTAGAAAGGCACCTCTTGCAGCGTGCAGGGAAACAGCTCTCCAACCTCCTTCCTCACCAGTCCTTCCCTTTTCCCCATCACTGGAAAGGGATGGGGGCACAAGAATACCCCAAGAGCTACAGGTGCCCCCAGAGCCCTCTGAGCTCACGCAGTGCTGGAGCATCTCATACAGCCTCAGAGCTCTTACAGGCTCCCTTGTGGCCCAGTGCTGGTGAGAAAACAAGGGTTACAGAGAGCAAATCTCAGTGGCTGCCTCTGAGGACAACCAGAGCAGAGAGTGCTAAAATGCACAGGCTGAGCCCTGGGACTCTGCTCTCTCAGTGTTAGGCTCTGAAATCAGCCCAGCCCAATTGCAGAGCCAGGCACACACTGACTCCTTCAAGGGGTTGGGTGCTGAGCTGATGTCATTACTGAAGGAAGACAGAAAAGCAAAATCACTTCTTACACAGAAGCGCATGCCTGATCTTTGCTTCAGAAAATCAGAAATCCAGACATCCCTGTTCCCCGAGTAAAGGTCAGGTAGGAATCAGCCACTGCAAGTAGCTGGTTATTTGAGCAGCTGCAGAGAGGAGATAAAGATTCTGTTGGGGAGAAGGGGCAAAAGTAACTGAGCAGTTTTGATCTTTAGGAAATCATCACTTGGGCTACCACTGCAAATACTGGTTTCAGTGGGGTGCACCTGTGGTGATGCTCACAACCCACTTGTGAACTGTAAATGCTGGTGCCCTTACAGCTGAAAATCTGCTTTAATAATGCTAGAAGCCTCTGCAAAAGTGATCTGTCACACTGTGAGCCATTCTGGAACTCATTAACTAAAAGTACAGCTTTTTTGGAGATCAGAGTTCATCTGTATTCCTGCTCCCTGCTCCTGAACAGTGCTCCCTCCCTCTTTTTCTGAAGAAATACATGGGATATAAGTATTGGAGAAGCAGGGGTGTGAGAAACACTTTTCCTAGGATTTTCAGAACAAGAGATCAGTATTGGACATAATTAAAGTATATTAATACATTACTTCATTGGTTTGGGGCTATAAGTGCAGATCATTTCATATCTGTGCTGGGGATAGCTCATTAAAAAGAGATGCTAAATACTTTAGCTTAATCCTATTGTTACACTTCTCTGAATGGGCTGAATTGCACCTCAATGATGTGCTCTTCTGAAACCCATATTCAGTCTAGCAATTAACCAATTATTTAGGCTGACTCATATTCTTGTTATTTATTTTGAAGAGAAATCGACAATGGATTTTCTGCTGACAAAACTTAACTCCTCTCCACCATATCAAGTCTACACCACCTTTCAAAGGACAATGTCACCAGCACCTAATTCTTCTTCGAATTATGATGACTATTATGATCCTGTAATGTCTTCCACTTGCACCATGGAACATATTAAAACCTTTACATCTACATTTTTTCCAGTACTGTACAGCATATTGTTTGTGACAGGTCTCATGGGAAATGCTTTGGTTGTTTGGGTCCTAATAGTCTTCAAGAAAGTCAGTGCCATGACTGATGTGTATCTGGTGAACCTTGGTTTCTACAGCAGCGCGTTCTTCATAACCATCATGAGCATCGACAGGTACTTGGCGATTGTCCGATCGGTGTATGCTCTGCGCGTGCGGACGGCTGCGCACGGGGCAGTTACCAGCCTGGCCCTTTGGGCAGTGGCCATTTTAGCGTCAGCACCAGCCTTCCTGTTCTTCCAGGAAGTGGACGATAACAACAAGAGTGCCTGCATCCCACATTATCCCGACAGCAACAATGGCTGGAAGATCTTCTCTAATTTTGAAGTGAATGCCTTGGGCTGGCTGATGCCCCTTGGCATCCTCATTTTCTGCTACTACAACATCCTGAAAAACCTGCAGAAATGCCACACTCAGAACAAGTACAAAGCAATGAAGCTCGTGTTTATTGTGGTCACCGTGTTCTTCCTTTTCTGGACACCCGTTAACATTGTGCTTTTCCTGGACTCTCTGCAGAATATGTATGTCATAGATGACTGTCACACCAGCAAAAGGCTCGCTCTAGCCATGGAGCTGGCTGAGGCTTTCTCCTTTGCCCATTGCTGCCTCAACCCAGTCATCTATGCTTTTGTGGGTGAGAAGTTCAAGCAGTATCTCTGTGAGGCTTTTGGAAAATATGCACGCTTCCTACTGATCTGCAAAGACTACAGGACTGTCAGCAGGCACAGCTCTGACAAACATTCCTCTGTAGTGCCAGTATCCTCACACTCTTCTTTCATGGATAATATCTTATAGAGCAAGAAATCAAAAACTTTCATCTTTGCCTGGGCAACCTGAAGATGCAAATTTCTACCATCTATTTAGTCAATAAAGTCTTCATATTGCTTTGGAAGCAGGAGTTTCAGTAATGCCCCAGTCAGAACAAGAAATCAGAATGGGAAAGCCCTGACCCACCAAGCGAGGAGCTGGGTGTCTATGTATGATTACACCTACAAGCATTGATGGACCAAGTACTATGTCGTTCTGAAATTTTGGTCCTGGTCTACTTCTTCTACAGTCCTTGCACTTCAGGAATTTTGCTATTATCTCATTCTTTCATCTTGTTCCTTTTCTTCTTTCCTGGACAATTCTGCAAAACTGTTCATACCTCCATCTCCCCCTTCCCTTTCTCCCCCTCACCCCTTCCAAATAAACCCCAGAGTAAACTATCTTTTATTCTAGAACTTGATCTCATTGTAAGTCTGGCTCCATTCTATTCCCTTGAATTTCCTTCCTAGGGCACAACAGAACAAAGGGCAAAATATCAGTTAAACCACTGATTTTCTCCAGATAATATTTACCATTTTAACAAGTGCTAGTATTTGCAATAGGTAGTTTACAACTTTTTACAAAAACAGGCTAGTAGCAGTATGTGTAGAAATAAATGGTAAGTAGGTGTTCGAAGGAGATGTTTGAATTGGCCAGAGGAGCCTTGCCAGTTTTCCCAATGCTGGCACATGAGTAGAGTCTGGGAGTGGCTGGCTATGAGTGTTGGCTGCTGACTGCATTGAAAAATGTCCCTTCATTCAGTGTCTCCTGGCCTGTCAAATGCTTACATGCTCAGTCTCTACTTTTCCCAAGTCACCACTGTTCACAGACACTGTTTACACTGTTCACTGACACAGATGCAAAAGTGATCTTGAGAAACATAATTTCTTACATTTGTGCACAAACGAGAATTGTTCTTGTTTTACTTGGTCCATGCCAACTATTCCCATTTTGCCTGCAAATTTGGTCAATGAAGCCCTTGTTCAGTCCCTTGCCTGTACAAACATTTCAAGATTTGTGTTCAGATGTGAAACAGCTAGCATATGCATTAGCGTGTAATGAGCCTTACTCATGCCCATGTATGGGGGAAGTTTTCCATTCAAAAGAAGTCTTTTTAAGAGAGAGAGATTATCTTGCTCTGCTGAAGCCCAGCAATATTCATCATCTGTTCTTAGGCTGTGCTTCCAGAAAGTAGTTACTTTCAGTAATATAAATAAACATAAGCTTAAAAACTGTTTTATTCTATATTATTAAAAAGGGTGTGGGCAGAGGTGCAGCTTAGGCAAAGTCACCAAAGTAAGATGTGCATTGATTACACGGAAAATTGGGTGCAGAATAGGAGTATACGAGGAGAAGAAAACAAGCTAGGATGTACATTATTCTTGATTTTGTGGCCTACTGTAATTGTGGGTTATGCCCAGAGGCTACAGTGAATGCAAACATTTTGAACTGTGTAGTATTCATTTGGCTTTCAGTCATTTGGTTCATACTGTGACAAAACATACCACAGGACTCAGGAAAATTCTGGTTTCTATTAATGTGCTAGTGATAAAAGGTGTTAGAATGATCTCAAATAAGATAAATGGGCACTGAAAGCACTCAAGCACTGAAAATGTCTCTATGGTTCTACCGCAGCATTAGTAAATTCACTTCACTGCTCTTCCTGCAAGGCATCCTCCCCAGCCACAAGTGACAGTATCCAGAATACATGGGCACAGTCAACTTTAATTAAACTTTCAATTTCTGTTCCTGATCAAGGTTCAATGCTCCTAGTTAACAGCACCCTAGTTAGGAAGATGTTGCATTACATGGAGGGTCTGGAAGGTAACGATCATTGCAGAATCAGCTCTCACCAAAGCTCTTTGTATTTTGCACCTGTGCAGGACAATTAATGTATACTCTCCTTAACTAGACACAGCCTTGCACACGACGAGGAACATTTCAGATTCCCTGAGTATCACTGTTGCAATGAGAGCAGGGAGTCTCTGGGCTGTCTCCCTGCTGTCATGCAGCTTCCCAGAGAGGCCTTGGCCATGGCTTCCCAGGCAAAATTCCTCCCTCTGTCAAACACTTGGCACTGCCAGCTCCCAGTCCAGCCCTTCCAGCTCAGCAAAACTCCTGCGGATGCTTGGTGAATGGCCACCTTGATGTGGCTGTTTGGCCTTAAGCAGGGTAATCCATCTGAGTTTGTCATTCTGCAGTGAGCCTTGCCAGACGCCCTGAAACAGCACTTGGCATTTCCAGCAAGGAGGAGGGCTAGGGCAAAATCTGGTCTACGTGACTAAAAGGCAAGCTGAGGACATCAGCCACTGCTGGCTGTGGTGTCAGCTACAGAGAAATGAAACAATAATGGGTCTGACAGCTCTCACCACCCCAGCCCTGAGCTTGTCTTGAGAGGTGGTTTCAGCTCCGACCTAGATATCCCACTGCTGTCCACATGTATCTGTGCTGGTCCAGTGCTGAGACTAAAGTCGTTATGCAAGCCTGTCCTTAACCCTAGCCTTTCCTGCATCTCTCAGGGGCAAACAATCTCCTTAAAATACTCCCTCATAGGAGTTATTTTCTCTCTTCACATGACGTATTTTTTTCATCTCCATCCTTGGTGCTCCCTTATCCCCAGCTGTGCTAACAATCTGCCCAGGGGGGCCCATCTCCCTCTTATCTGATCCAGGCCTGTTACCTACTGCCCAAGTGTCCTTCCCTTGCACACGGGATGCTCAGGAAGAGGTGTGTCATCACTCCAGTCAGGTAAAAACAGTGCTATGCAGAAAGGAAAATCCATCCCTGCGTCAGTGGAGGGAGCTCTGGAGGGAGACTTACTGCAAGATAACCCTTGGGAAAGAGATTATCATATTCTACTCATTCTACTGCTCTCACCTCTTGCAATCAGGTGTGCTGAGTTGGCTGTGATATGGCAATTTTTCCAATGGTTTTCATTGCTCCACTGTATAACAACTGCATTCTTCAGTGGAAAACGATAAAGTGAAAGTGCATCTTTATCATATTTTATACATTTAGAAACAAAGTTAAAACATGTGAAAAGGCTGCCTGTGTAAAGTTTTTCATTTCTCTAGTTCTTAGTAAACTCTAAAGGGAATCTTTCCCCTACAACTGCCTCAGACAAAGAGATGCAATGGGAAGGTCTGAGATGCATTCAGTGGCACAAAGGATTCCTTGCCTGAGGCCCCTGCTTCCTCCACTTGCAGTAATCAAACTTCTAGAGCTGGAGGTGATCTGAGCACCTCCTTGCAGCCCTGGTTGCCTGCAGCTGTGGCAGCTTCCTGCCTGTGAAGGTGAGACCCACATCCGGCCCCTGCATGGCCAGCAGGGTTTGACTGAGAGAGGGCAAGGGCCTCCCTGCACATCTCAGAGCTACGTTCCTTTGAAAGGGGAAAGGGTTTGGAAGGAGGCAGGACAAGCCCAGGAGCAGTGTGCTGTCATGCCGGTGTGTGGTGTGCGTGTGGAGACAGGGAGCACAGGAGAGCAGGAGGCTTCCTCCTGCATTTGTGCAGTCGGCAGAGCCCCAAGGTGAGGGGCCAGGAAAGTAATGACAAACTGCAGAGTTGTTCAGGAATCTGGAAGCCGAAAAGGCACCCGGCTGTTGGCGCTCGACCATTCTACAAAGAACTTAAGCATGTTCCCCTGCATGGGTAAGAGGTACCCATCACAGTATTTATATTGCTGCTGCTCACATCTGTTCTTCAACTTTGTAGTGTAATTCTTTTTTTTTTTTTTTATCCTGGGGTGGTACAAGTTAAAAAGAATTCAGAATGGTGTTGGCACCCTAAATATTCCCATTTTCCTGTTCTGGCTCAAGTGTGATCTCTTAAAACATGGAATACAAAGTCACAGTTACATTAAAGTTTAAACTGATAAAATATGTATATGTTTTCTTTTGATTGACTGGTGGTATTTGTAAATATGGAGAACAAAAGAGTAAAGTGAGTAAAAGCTCTGTTGCTAGAGAAAACATGCACATGCACAGTGTGACTTCCTTACAGATTCAGAAGCTGATCATGCTCGTGATCTTTGCTCTCCTCTATATTCTCCTGCATGATATGTCTATCATGTTTTCCAAATTAGAGGAACCCAGCTATTCTCTTAGGTAGGGAACCACCAGGGAAAGTTTTTTTTAGTACTTTTAGAGTATAGAGATCAAATTAATTCTAGCCTAAGAACTGTTGTGAGATGAGCGCACATTCCCAATCATTATGGCGTGTTTCCTGTGCTACATCAGTTTGAATAAATCAGCCACATTTTCCTTGCTTGAGGAGATACTTGCTTCCTAGACAAAGAAAGCCAAACAGCACAAACTTTTTTCTGAAATAGATTATTGTTTCATTCAAATGCATGTAAAATACAGGGAAAATTATTCATTACACTCCCTTGTGCCTCATAGGAATCTTTCGATCCATTACATCTCTGCAGTTCAGAACATAGAGAAGCTTTCAGAAGTAAAAAATAAATCAGTACTGTCATATGTGCTTCTTTATCAATGTCCAGCTCTCTTAAAGGCTGATAGCATCTCTTTAAAAGATGGGGTCTTAATGACATGCACTATACTCTACAGTTCATTCTACCTCAACCTCTTAGTTGGAAAGGTCTTGAAGAGCTTCACTCATTCAGTGTTTCTGTGGCATCAGTGGCGATTTATTGCATAAATATCTCTCGTTTAAAACCTGTGCCAGCAGGTGTGGAATGGAAAGTACATGTTTAAGGATACACACCAGCAAAATGTTAGATATATGAAGACATACTTACTTACGTTTGCTAAATCCCACAGAAAATAGGGTGAAGCAGGATACAGTGTGTTGTTGCTCTACATCTTTCACTTGTGAGCTACAGGACTGTCAGCTGAGGCCTGCTGATATCAGTCTCAACCTCTCCTTGCAAAATGGCATCACAGAGTACCAAACTGATTTTTGTGTTTTGTTCTGTTCTGCTCTAGGAAGTAAGTCTTTTTTTTATGATATCTATAATCTACCAGC